TTTGGGCATACACCTCGTTCTTGCTGTTTCTATTTACCAACTAATGCTTACCAAATACCTTTCACTTTACAACGCCGCACACACACACACACACTCACACACAGAAACACACACACTCACTCCCTTGTCTGTGCTCTCGACTGCGCTGCGCAGCATCCCATTGTCTTTTCTTCACCACACCGACTGAGGACGCTGACGACGCTGTCGCACTCTGTTGATGGTAACGGTGACGGTAGCGGCGACGCAACTGCTGTAATTTTTCACACCACACCACACACACACACACACACACACACACACGACAGACTCAGTCACAGACACAAACACATGCGAATGTTGTCACCTCTTATGTGCGCCATTTCACTCACACTCATACACACACGCACGCACACACTCATTTGGTGAGCAGTTGGTCGCCGCCATTGTGAGGTGTGGTGTTAACTAGCTGGCGCGTCTATCTGCGCCCTGCCTCTCTGCCATCAAATGCTTGTTGTTGCTGTTGCTGTTGCTATTGTTGTGTATGTGTTTGTGTGTGTGTGTGTGTATTTGTGGTTAAACTTGTCACACAAGCTGAACTGAGCTGCAGCAACAACAAAAACCAACAACTGAACGACAAGTCAGTGTCGTTGCCTCTGCTGACTCTCTTTCTCTCTCGCTCGCTCTCTCTCTCTCTCTTGGGCTCTTGCTCTTTCACACTTACAAGTGAGACTCGTAAGGCTCGTGAGTTGGTCGTCGTCGTCGTTGCCGTTGCCGTTGCCGTGTGGTCAAACGTGTTTGTGTCGTCGTCGTCGTCGTCTTCTCTAAAGGACACCCGCCTCCCAGCCCACCCACTACATCCAAGCATCCAGCCAACCAGCCAGCCAACCAAACACCCACCCACCCATACAAATTTCTTGGTGTGTTTCTTCACACGTATGTATGGGGTATGCGTGTGTGTGCTTGTGTGTGTTTGTTTTTAAGCTTTACTTGGGTTTTGGCGTCGCGCACACTTGACACTTGTATTAGACAGCTTAAACACACACACGCACACACACAGAACACACACATATAAACTTATAGAAATTTGCTGGTGTCGTCATCAAGAGCGTCGTCGTCGTAGTCGTTGTGCTTGTCGTCTTTTTCTTGCGCACAGGCAGCGCCCAATACAGTCAGCTCTCACTCATACACACACACGCACTCACACACTCAACAGAACACAACTGTATGTGTGTATTGGTAAACGTGTGACAAAATATATTTTCGTTGCCGTTTTTGCTTTTTGGCACCGCCGCCGACGCTGCCAGCTTCTTTGTCTCTACTTTGGTGTATGTGTGCGTTTGTGTGTGTGTGTGTGTGTGTATATATATGTGTATGTATGTGTTTGACTTTTGCTTGAGCTGGTGTTCTGTTGTGTGCGAGCTTCATTTGCAGGCCTCACCATCGTCAGCAGCGCGCCATCTCGTTCGCACTTATAGATGTAAAAGCTTTGGTCGTGTTTGTGCAAACTTAGCGTCAAGTTTGTCACACGCTCGCGTACAGTGGCACCTACAGCCACTTTTTGTTGTTGTTGCTGCTGTTGCTGTTACTGTTGTTGTGGAGCTGCTGCTCTTCTGCTTTTTCGCACTTACGAATCGGGTGTTGCTTAGACGTCGCCGTCGCCGTTGCCGTCGCTGTTCGCTCCCCCGCTCTTCACTCTTCCTCTATCTTTTTTTGTATTTTACGTGTGTGTGTGTGGTCTAAGCATAAATCTCCAACTTGTCCAAGACAATTTAGCGCCCGAGTGCTCCCCCTCCCCCCAGCACTCTGCACCAACCAGCACTATCTATGGCACAAATGCTTCGTATCTTTTGCTTATTTGCATTTTGACGCATAAAAGCTGTTAAAGCTTTGACGCCACACAGGCTTTCGACTGCAGTTCATAGTCCGGAGCCTTAGGGGGCTCTAAGATGAATGGGATCAGAAAAAAATTCGAAGCGAACGGAGCCGCGTATGGAGAAAGAGCGAAATGTTGCCTTACTCTTACAGCTGTTACGCGAGAACCTGGAACTAGAGCATACATATTTTTCAAACTTTAAAAAGTTTAAGTATCAATACATATTCCTCCCCCTTTTTGACACTTTCTTTTAATTTATTATTTAATTTCAAGTTATTAAATAAAAGTAACCCAACTATCACAAAGCAAGCAAGGCAGACAAGATTTATCTAAAATAGATTTAAGTTAAACTATATTATTAGCTCATTTTGATTTTATATTATTCGCTTTTATTTTATTTCGTCAAATGTTTTATTAAGAACTCCCAACAATCCAATAAGGAAAACACTGATCATTTGGAAATTGTTGCAAACATTCTCATAAGAGAGAGAGTATTTAAATTATTTACTACATTCCATATCAATTGCAACATTTGTATTTCAATTTCAAAAAGTATTTATTCTTTTTGGCAAACATTTTAATCGCCTTCTCTTACAAAGCCGCTTCGATCTCGATACAAAAATCCGCTTTTGTCCGTAACTGTTGTGAGTGGTGGATAGGGACTGTTTTCTCTCCTCTCTAGGAGTTTATTTGCGCCGTTGTCGCTCTCTTAATGCCTTTACGGCTCAGCAGCTTTCGGACCGTTATCTCGTTTATGTTTCGTATTTGCGACCGATTCCGGCGCATTTATCAAGACCGCCCCAAAACAAAGTGGCGCTGCCACATACGCGCCGCAGCTTCCACATTAATCCATCAGGCAAGCGAGTCATTTGTGACCCTCCCCCCATCCCCCCAACCACCCCACACACACACACACACATGCACTATGTGCCCCCACGGCCATCGCTTGCTGCTGCCGACTATCAAAACATTTGACCATTGAAGCGCACTTTTCGTTTGCGCGTCATTTGTCAACTTGGCCGTTAAGCTTTCGTTTTTTTTGGCACAGAGCCAGCGCGGCCCCTTACTCTGCACCCCCTCAGTAGACCACCTAGAGTTGACAATTTCAGCTGCTACTGCTGAAGCTGCCACCGCCGCGCTGCTGCGCACTGTGATTTACTACACTATTTTATTTCTTTTACTACACAGTGTTTTTTTCGTTTTCTGTTTTTTTTTTTGCGCTGCCGTTCACATTTCGAGCCATTTTTCTGCCGCGCTGCACTTTTGGTGTCAGCTGCCTTGTTACTTCTAACACGCTCAACGCTGCTTGTCACACTCTCCTTGGACGCTGCTGCCGCTGCCGCAGCCACTGCTACTGCCGCCGTCACCGCCACCGTCGCTGCCACCACTGGTTGGTTTGCTTTTTTTCTTACACCCAGTGCGCATCTATTGTGATGGTAGTTGTTGTTTGCCTACACACACACACACACAAACACGCACACTCACACATACACAGAAAGATACACCACACATGGGCAAAGCGTCAACTCAACACTTTTGAACATCGCGATGTTGTCACTGTAAACCGTGGCAGTGGCATCGGCTGTGGCGGTGGCGGTGACGGTGGCGACGCTGCCGGCTGTGACGCGACGCTGCCGCAAAGCAAAGGCGGCTGCTGGCATTTTTCTGTTCTTAGTTTTCTTATTGGAACCGTCGAGCGACCGGTTCTCTGCTCTCACTCCCACCACCAACAAGCACACACGAATACCAACACCAATCCAACACCAACACCATTGCAAAAGGGCAGCAACCAACCGACTCACTCGCACGCCTCAAAGCGTCCAACAGAGGGCAACACAAAACAAGAACTCAACACAGGCCGAGGCAGAGGCAGAGGCGCACACGCTCTCTCTCGCTCGCTCGCTCGCTCTCACTTGCCAGCAATTGTATGTGTGTGGCTCGGCTCTGTGTTTATGAGTGTGTGTGTGTGTGTGTGTGCACGCGCTGGCTTGTGTATGTGTTGCTTGTTCGCTGTGTTGTGTGTTTTTGGGGGTTGCACAGCCAGCTTGCGTATGTGTATTTTCCAGTTTGAAAGCGACCGGCGTGTAGTTCGTATCGGCGTCGTCGTCGTTGTGTGTCGTCCGTTTTCTAAAACAGAACTGCAGCAGCGCAGCAACAACAGCAACAGAGGCAGGCAGGCTGACAAAAAGCTCAAATTGCAGGCGTTCCTCGTATTTTAAAGGCATTTCGAATTCTAGAATTTTTTTGTTAGATCTTGTTTCCGAGTTGGCTGTTTTTTTTTCTGTTCAAGCCACGTTTATAAAAGCCGCAACAGCCATATAGCAACAACAACAAATTACGACCGTGCTTGGCCGCGTGTTGCGTAGCCGTCGCTTGCGTTGATTTGCCGCCGCAAAAACAACAAAATGCGGAATCGAAAATAAAAGCGCAAAGCATAAACCAACAATAACAACAGAAGCAACAACATGAAAATGAGTTTTGAAGAAAAGAAAAATCATTACAAATTAAAAAAATAGCTTAACCTAAATTAAGTCAATTTTTTTAGCAAGAATATTTTTTTTAGAAGCAAGCCAAAAAGTTAACAACAACAAATTGAGCGTGTGACAGTGCAACAACAACAACAACAACAAAACAAGAAAACAACAACAACAAAGTGCAACAAAATATAAAAACAAAAATTTCAAAATAAAATTTGTGTGTATGTGCTAAACAACAACAACAACAAAAATAACGACAAATACAAAAGAAATTGAAATTAATTTATTAGATCAAGAAATTCAAGTACCTGTGTGCCGCCCAAAGCTGCACAAAACTGACACACACACACACTCACACACATATATATATACCACACACATACACACCAATACAACCAGTAACATACTATATAGATATATCCTCCAAATACATATATGTACATATAGTGTGCATAGAGATATGTGCGTATATATCGCTCTGTATAATATATACAGATCGCTGCTGCTTGTGTGTGTCTAAGTGCGCGCGTAGAAACGATAATTGAGAAGGAACTCTTCCAGGGATAAGAGGAAACGTTATAAAGAAGAGCCGAACATAGAAAACCAAACAGGCAAACAAACAAACGAACAAACAAACACACACTTTTTGTTGGCATTTACTTGGCCATTTTGAATTTCCTGATTTCCTGCGTGGCGCAAGTGTTAAGCAAATTGTAATGTAATGAGATACGACGTCCAGGAGCTGCTACTTCATCAGTCTGCTGAGGATCCATTCGCCAGGTTCGCAAATGGGATGGCATATCATCCATTTCTGCAACTCTCGCAAAGACCCACTGACTTCAGCGTCTCGTCGCTGTTGACGGCGGGTAGCAACAACAGCAACAGCAACACCAACAACACCAACAACAACAACAGCAACAATAACAACAACGTTAGCGGCAGCGGCAGCATTGCAACAACAGCAGCGAGCGTTGCACAAGCCGCAGCAGCGGCGGCGGCGGCAGCAGCAGCAGCAGCGGCGGCCCTCGGATCACCATCGGGAGCCGCCGACTACGCCACATTTCATCAGCATCAGCAACAACAACAACAGCAGCACCAGCAGCAACAGTTGAGCGGCCAAGGGTCGCCGTTGGGTGGACAACAACCGCCGCCGCAATTATCGCCAACAACCACAAGCAACAACAATAATCATAGCCAGCTAAATAACAACAACAACAACAACAACAGCAGCAGGAGCAACAACAACAATAGCAAGTCACATCTAACCACCGAATTAAACGCAGCCGCAACAACAACAACGTCACCAACACCGCCGCCACTGTCGTCATCATCATCGTCCTCATCGGGTGCAGCAGCGCCACCATCAGCACCACCGCCACCGCTGCCGCCATCGACTGTGCCACATCCCGCGCATCATTCGCCCAGCATACCGCAGGGTGTGCCACCGCCACCACCACCACAGCAACAACAACAGCAGCAAGCACCACCTGGAGGTGGTGCCGGTGGTGCACCGCCACCACCACCCTCTGCTGGTCTGCCCCCACCGCCGCCGCATTTGCCACCACAGCAACCACCGCCGTATTTTCCCGCCGCTGCGCTCGCCGCTCTGGCCGGTAGTCCAGCGGGCCCGCATCCCGGTCTCTATCCCGGCGGCCTCCGATTTCCCCCACATCCGGCCCATCCGCACGCCCACCATCCGTTGGGCACGCCCTACACCACCGCCGAGGACGTGGTGCTCGCATCGGCTGTGGCACACCAATTGCATCCGGCAATGCGACCGTTACGCGCGCTCCAACCCGAAGACGATGGAGTCGTCGATGATCCGAAGGTGACGCTCGAGGGAAAGGATTTGTGGGAGAAGTTCCACAAGCTCGGCACCGAAATGGTCATCACCAAAAGTGGCAGGTGAGTTCAAAAACGGAGAACTCTCAGCACAGAGAGAGTCCCCTCAGCTGAAAGAATGGTTGCATTTTTCGAACTCTTCGCTCCAAAATATTTGCAAATACGATTTTTGCCTTTGATAGATGTTCAGATCGGGTGTTTCCAAAATATTTTCGAATAAAATACTGAAATTAATGATTCTATTTAATTATGTGGTTCACAAGTTTTCCAATTCTATGAAACCTGCTGAGGATGCTTCTTCTAGACTCAATAGATCACGCCAATTAAAGATATACTTGTAGTTATTTGTAAAGATAAGATTCAGCATAATTGAGGAGAGAAAATCCATTGATTTGGATATTTTATATTATTATATTTCTTTAGGAAATGTAACTTGTGTGTTGCAATTTGTTTAGAAATAGTGTGAAATATTTTTTTAAAACTCCCATTCCATTCCATTTGACCATTATAATTCAGAAAATGGCGCTTAGTTAGGAACAGGTCTAGTTATCCCGTTATATTCTTTATGTTTTCAAAAAATAGAATGCTTCAACTCATACTTATTACGAATTAATCCGTAGCTTTGAGTTACTCTCTAGGTTTCTGGATATCCCACTTTATCTTTATAGTATTTTAAAAAATATATCTTTCGTAGCTTTTTGATTCGCTCTGGGTTTCAAAAACAAAATCGAATTATATTATTGGAATCATTTTCCATTTCAAATTCCGAGTTTCGTACTTGAATTGTGAGCCTTGAGCCAAATGAACCCTGAATTCCCCAATCTCCAGCTTAGGAAAGAATTTCAAATAAAATTCGTTGAGGAAAATTTCGTATATCAAGCCTATGAGGTATTCAACGGTAAAGAGGATGTCTTAGTTGTGTTATTTCCCAAGGATGTGAAAGTGAAAGCTGTCGTCTGTTCCTTGCAGGGTTGCAGCATGCCCGCCTCCCCAACCCAGAGAGTTCCCCAATGAAGCCGACCTTACAATGGAAAACTTTTTCATTTCATGGCTGCAATGCCTCGAAAAAATGCCAGAGTGCAAAACAATTTTTGTGCGTGGTCGCACGGCGAAGGTCAAACCCCTGTGCCTATGTTCCTATGTTCCTACGTTCCTCCGTTCCACCGTGCCTCCCTCCCTCAAGGCCCTGCCCTGACAACGAATTCTTGCGCCAGATACTTGAGCACGTGTGTCGTCTCAAGCCGTAAGCATGGACAAAATATCATGGGCCCCCTCCCCCTGCCCCTCCCTCGGCCATTGTCTCTGCCACTGTTGTTGGCTAATGTGACAAACTGGAGCGACGTCTGTCGCCCGCCTTGAAAAGTAGGTGAAAAACGCATTTAGCGTTCGGCCAGACCCAGACCCAGACCCACACCCAGCCCAGAACCAAGACCCAGACTATAGCAATAGCCAAGCAACAATCGCCCCCATGCACAACCAAGGCGTGTCATCACCCTCTCAACGATGTTGACGACGATGACGACGATGACGATGTTGTCGCCAGCGACTTGGCTGGCTGGCTGACTGGCTGGCTGGCTGGTGGGTTGACATTCAAGTTGCGTTGGCGCGTGAAAATGCGTTTTAAGCTTCACACCTACTTGAAAAATTATCCCAAATGAGAGATACAATCAGAGGCAGTTAAATTGTAGAGTATAGAGTGGTTTCTAGTCTCCACATGGACACCGTTTGAATACATTGAATGCATTTGTGGAAGACATAATTCGACTAAAAGTTCACTTCAAATGTGCGAGTCTGAGAAGCACGATAGTATTACGTGAAAATAAAGTTTTTACAAATAAAATAAATAAAAATAATTTTACCAAACATAAGACAAATGGAACATATTCGCAAAATTAAAAAGTGTTCGTGGTGCACGGATTCATTTATTTCATTTATCCATCACATTTCTACTCACTTGATTCGTTTCGTACAAAGTCACACAAATGGGGTTTTAATTTGACTCTCCACCTCATATTTTTTCATATATTTTCATATTTTTTCATTTGTGCATTCATGTACATACTTGAAAAATGATCCCAAATGAGAGATACAAACGGAGGCAGTTAAATTGTAGAGTAAAGAGTGGTTACTACTACATTGAATACATTGAATGCATTTGTGGCAGACAAAATTCGACTAAAAGTTCACATCAAATGTGCGAGTCTGAGAAGCACGATAGTTTTATTTCAATATATAGTTAGACAATACCTCTCAATATGCACTCATTTGCTTCATGGGTGCATTCGTGTACTCACAAGGCACCTACCATTCATAAATCAATGCACTTGCCCTCATCATTTGCATTTAGTATTTCAACTCAAACATAAACAACACTCTCCAGTTAGCTTGAATTTAATGTGAACATACATACACTCGTATACTCATATTTGTTGTTTAAATTATTAAATAAACAATTTGAGGGCTTGTCGTCGTCGTCGTCGCTTTTGCGCTCAAACATTCAGTCCGCCTCATTCAGCTTATTCTCGAGCATTTAAAAATTTGTGCAACAAACTTTATTTCACGCCTGGACTTGCGCCTCCCGCTTCACGCCCCACATTTTTGAGCCCATTTCGGTTGCATTTGATTTTGGCCAACAACAAAAACAAGAACAACAATAAAACAACAGCAGCAGCAACAAGAGGGCAACAAAAGAAAAAGCAAAAAGGTAAACAAATATTTGCGAATAGTTTTGCGCAAAACTAAAATAAACGCGTAACTTTTTTTTGTGAAGGCGCGCGCTCTCTACGTTGCCGTCTGTTGCACGTCTGGCCCAGCAACAGCAACAACAACAACAATAAGAACAGCAACAACAACAACACAACCAATGCCAGCAACAAACAGCAACACAAAACAAAGAACGCTTAGCAATTTCAGGCTTGCATAATGTGTACATATTTCTGTTCGCACTTTCCACACTCAAAAGTGCAGCATTTACAACAACAACAACAACCCCAACAACAACAACAACAGCACCAATGCATTTTCCAAATTTAACATAAACATTGCACCAAAACTCCTCCCGACATTTCCACTCGCATAGCCCATTAGCTGTTCTCTTCGGACAAATTCAAAAGCCAAGTATTGTAAATCATAATTATCTATATTTCCGAAAACTCCTCCCGACCCATTAGCTGTTCTCTTCGGACAAATTCAAAAGCCAAGTATTGTAAATCATAATTATCTATATTTCTGAAAACTCCTCCCGACCCATTAGCTGTTCTCTTCGGACAAGTTCAAAAGCCAAGTATTGAAAATCATAATTATCTATATTTCCAAAAACTCCTCCCGATCCATTAGCTGTTCTCTTCGGACAAATTCAAAAACCAAGTATTGTAAATCATAATTATCTATATTACCGAAACGGATCGATTGCCTATCGGTAGAATTGCAAGTAATTGACCTTAAGCTCTACTTCTTATACTAATTTTGCCCATTCTGTGCCGTTCCGTGTATTTGAAATCAATCTAGATCTAGATAGTATGTTGTAGATGACAATTGAATTTAAAAAACATTAAAAGAATTTGTGAATATTTGTAAAATAGGCCAACAGATTGTTCCTCTTCCTATTCTTAATTGTCTATTGAAACTGCAATGGACTAGTTTTTAGCATTTTTTTTTTTTTTAAATAGCGCTCCGGTATTCCTTATTCAATTGGACTTACTTATACTACTGTCTTTCACTGTCTTTGTTTCGTCCAAAAAATTAGAAATGTGGAAGATAATACAAAATTAATTAAGCTGTTTAGAAACAATTCTGCCCAATAAATAGTCGACTTAAAGTTTAGGTACTTTAGACCAATATTTTTAAAAATCATGACCCGTTTACAATTTGACTTTTGAAATTCTTCACTGTGGCTTTAAAGCATATTTGATTTGCAATGAAGAGGCCTCTTAACAGAAATAAATCTAATTTATAAAATGGCTTCCTACACTGTCCGTGTTTTTTTTTTACTTATTTATTGTAATAATCCTCAGACCTTCCTACAATCCAACAACTTATCGATAAATTATATAAAACAATTTTTATTATTTTTAAATCATGAAGTACATGTTTATATTAAAAAAGTTTAAATTTAATTTCAAAACTGCCTTTCTTAAGCTAATTTGTGGCAAATAGGGTTTCCACTCAGCAGTATATATACACATATTATATACGTCATATACTATATATGCATTACAAGTTCTCAGTTTTCTGTATAAAACGCTTCAAAAAATCGCGCACAAAACGCACTCGACTTTTCCCACACCACAGGCAGGCTCTCTTTAAACCCTAAGGTCGGATGGCGTTTGTAACAAAATATATATAATATAAATATATATGTATATTATATATTATATATGTATACATATATATTCTTGATGGGCGTGACAAGCTTAGTCCATAAACTGATTGTTGTTACAAGCTTATATTTTGAGAGCTATCTAGTCTTTCACTAATGGCAGCGAAATTCTTGCAAAGCAAGAATCGGTCCAATATAAAACTATCATCAAAACGAATCATTTGAAAAAGCGGCCTCTATTTGAACATATGTATGTATGTTTTGTTTGCAAAGATTTTGGAACTCGATCGCAAGGCGAAGTCATTGTTTGGTTTACGAAATATTTGACTCGACATACAACAAGTATGTATGAATAGTGGATATAGGGTGTGGAGCTATAGGGCTGATTTTGTGCAGGAACTGCATTAGTTTTGTGCTCTATCAAGTTATATCCGCAGAACCAAATCGGACGAATTAAAGCCTATATAGTTACTCGTATCAGCAACCAATAGCGGACTTAATAAACAAACTGAAGATTCCATTTTAGCAATCCCAATCAATCTTGCCACTAATATGTATTAGTGCTCGGTCGACTTCAGAAGGGTATAAAGGCTTCGACGTAAACTGTGTACGGGTTTTGGTTTATTTTTCTCATTATTTTATTCACGCGTTGCAATTTTTCGGGGCCAACAAATTTTGAAGTATGCGGCCACCTACATGCATTAAGATTGTGTTGTAGGTGGCGATGGGGAAGGGAAGGAGAGGG